TGTTACGAAGCCATGTGCGAGTACATAGTATTGCATTCATGCCTTGATGCGATCCTTTCCAATTACCATTTCGCACGCTTTTGCACCTTCGAAGCCACCCAATATGAGTACATTGCAGGATTTCCAAATCGCACCTGCAATCCTCCATCGTGTCACCGTTCGTGACGCTTCAGCAATCTTGTTCTGTACTCTCCTTACTGTTTTTCTGTTCATATCACAAGGAACTGTCCGTGGAGTCAAACGAGTTGGAAAATCTCGACTGCGGACGCTAGTGACTGGCGAAACACCTCTGAGATTTGACCTGGAAAAATATGGCTATCTGGGTTATCAGCAGGTATGCAATTTTGTCTAACACAGATACCCTTAATCCCATAAATTGCTGATTAATGTGTTATAGTTCTCCAAAAAGGCAAACAAGCCATTTCTGGTGAAGATCTATGGTCTTGATCACTATGTTCTACCTGTCAAATACCTTGACAGTTTGAAAACCGTAGATCATCACAGACTGAGTTTCGCGCAAAGTCTCAATGATGTGAGTCAAGTAGCATTTCTGGGATTTAAGAAAGCGGCACTGGCATGGAATCATCAAAGCTAATCTCAAACGCTGCTAGTTCCTCAATGTCGATGCTTCGCTCGGCGATTTAGTTACCCATAGCGACATGGAAATAGCAGTTGTGACCAAGCATTTGAACCCGAGGCTCAGTAAGTCGTCATAGAAAATGACTCACTGATTTAATTCGAGTGAGCAAGTCTTCTGACTATTTTCAACCACAGCCACGCTCACTCCTGTGTTGGTGGACGAGGCCAACTTTGCATTTGAAAAAGAACTGGGAAAGCTCGAAAGTGAGAAAACCACATAACGGAGACATTCGTTATTCTCATTTTACTGACTATCTCATCAAGCATGGAAAACGGTCAATGCTCTCTTCCTGAGCGCCTTTCTCACCAACAGGACTTCAGGTCGCGTCCTTGTGGGGGATCTGTGTCGAGACGATAATTATCTCCACGCGATGATGAAATATACGGAGAGTGTTTTCTCTTCAGGAGTTGCCTTCAATGGCATTCCTCTCGGTCCTTTTCGGAAGATTGTGTATTATCTGGGAGCGCGTCAGCATCGACGAGATCTAGATAATGCAGCCGCTCTCGTCCTTCCTGAAATAAAGCGGCGGATGGCAGCGCAAGCCGAAGACCCAAATTGTCGAAAAGAGAATGATGCGATTCAGTGGAACTTAGATCTGCCACTGGCTTCCCCAAAGGAAGGATTGCCACTCCGTCACGCCCACCGCGTTCTGCATCTGTCCTTCGCCGCCACTGGCACAGTTGCAATTCTCATTACGCATATGATATACAATGTACTCATGTATCCTGAATACTTGGAGCCTCTCCGCGAAGAGGTTATGGCCTGCACTAAAGCGCACGGCGGGTGGACAGAAAAGGCCATGAACGAGATGTGGAAATTGGACAGTTTCATTAGGGAGACTCTTCGAGTACAGCCACCCAGCGTTTGTACGTTTCCCACATCTATGCTGTACAGCGGTGCAAAAATTTCAATAAAAAAGCCAGCTAACCATGTTCCCTACAACAGTCACAGCATATCGCACTGTTAAAAACCAGCCATTCACGTTTCCTGATGGGTTCACCCTACCGGTTGGATCGAGAATTACTTTCCCGACCCTTCCAGTCGGTCTAGATCCTGAGAACTATGAGAGCGCTAGCGAATTCGACGGGTTCCGTTTCTTCCGCAAGAGGGAAGAAGCGCGTTTGGCCAAAAAAGCGTACAATTGGGGAGCGACTAAGATTGACTCCTCTTTCCTTCCGTAAGTCGCCCATCTCCAAAGACTGAGGTGTCTTTCATCAAATTATGTCGCAAGTATCACTAACTATATATTCACAGTTTTGGATATGGCAATCAAGCTTGCCCAGGACGCTTCTTCGGAGTAAGAAAGACCAAGATACTGTTCGGAAAATTGATTAATGATTATGATTTCTCTTGGGCCGAGCCTCGTTCGGCTCGACCAGAAAACATCGTGATAGAGGGCCAAATTCTTGTTAATCCGACACCGGAGATTAAGATTAAGAGCAGAGTGGCTGCTGGCATGTAATGGGGTCACCGAATAAGGGAATAGAATATCCTGAATAGCTATGACTATCATCCAACTGTTTTTCTATCTAGGAGTCAAAAATGAATACAGATATGAAAGACTGAACGTCTCTCACTCTATTGTGTTCGCCGAGCGAAAGCTACAATGTATAATTCAGCAAGGCTCTGTGGCTTATCTTCTCTTCAAGTAAAGTTGCGAAGAATTATGAACACGTCTGGTGTTTTAGCAAGAGAAAATAGCTTTGCTAATATTCCAGCAAAACATATAGAGCCGCATAAATTCCATGATGGCAAGAACATGTGATCGTAGTGCCGGGGTTCTAGTATCACAAAATTTGTCGAGTAGTGCAACTCCGAATGCCTCCACCACTGGTTCGCCCAACGCCTAAGCTTCTCGTATCAAACAAAAGGAGAGATGCTAGCCATATTTATTTTCATTACCCAACTGATCAAATGTTCTGTATACGCGAATCGCTACTATTGTGCTGGTAACGCCAAAAATATCAATGAGATTTGCGCAGACCCAGCTTGATCATAACAATCAACATCAGGGTTGATGAACAAGCTGCCTTCCAGATACCGTCTAATCTATGAGAAAGTGATGCTTCCTGCAACCGCTGAGTAGGATTTGTGTGATTGGCGCATAGCTATGGGAAGATGAGCGCCAGGAAAAGTGGTGACAAGATACCTACTCCTCAATACGATATGCAATTGGCTATTCTGAGTAACCTCTTCTCTCTGCAGACGTTTTCTCCTCCAATGGACGGAATTTCCATATTCAGAAATCGATTCATGTAAACCAGACGTGATCATTGTCTATGTGCGCTGCATCTCTACCAATTTCACAAGCATGCCCAATGATCATGATCGGAACGCACGAAATTTGCTTGCTTGCGCAAGGGGACCTGCAGACAAATTCGAAATACAAAATATCAAGACATGGAGTATGAACATTCTTCCTATGCGTGCTATTGACTTCTGAATATGGCTGATGCTCACACCAAAATTTACTTGCGTTGCTCCTGCCAATGACCACTGCATTCTCCGGGTCGAATCCATAGGAAATATCTATTCCAGAGTCGATGTTATTCAATCGCTCTGTTCTACGGATGGTATTATCCTCGCTTTTCGCATATGATCCCAGCTCTTTTCAAAGTCGGACACTGTGTTGGAAGACTCTAGAAATCCCAAATCCCGCGCCTTTTCAATGTCCAGTACTCGATCAATCTTCAGATTCAATAGAAAGGTAAGATACTGCCAGGCGATGTTGGTTACAAAGTCGGGCTGCAAACCATACTCGGCCTCAAATTCCGTTGCTTTAGCTGTGACGCCCTGAAACCACTCGGGTCCAAAGCGAGGGGAGCTTGCATCATCGGAATCACCTTCGGCCATCTTTGGTTCTGGAGGGGCACCAACGAGGTCGAAGTACTGCACAATCTTTGGCCAAATTTGCTCCCAGGAAGTCGTCTCCCCATTTGATATGTTCAGAGCGCCGGGGGTGCCGTTCGATGCAGCATGAGTGCTGGTGAAGATGTGAAATCTTGCCAATTGGTCTTGGCCAATCACGGTAAAATCTGCCTTCCAGGCCGACTCGGAACCTGGAAAATGGAGAACAGCACCCTTGCCGTAGACGTATCGGTAAAATGCAAAGTATAAACCCAAAGAAACGCTCAAGCAATGAGGGCTGTTTCTTGGGGTGAAGCCTATCTGTGCAATTGTTACAGCAATCAGCAACCGTTCGTGCACGACTCGCATTGCGCCCGGCTAGTTGTAGGCAACGTACGATGGTATCAGGCCGAATGGACGACCAGGTCCATGAATTCTTGTCCGCCATCGCTTTGACATAATCTTCCTGACGATAATGGCTCACCATGTCTGAGAAGGGAGGGGGCACTCGTGCAAACGATTCGTTGAAAGGGCCCGGTCGGAAGTTGTCACCCAACCAGTCAGCAAACGGGATGCCGTAAACCTGTTCTTTGACTCAGTATCGGGTGATGGGGCGATTCGCACCAAAAAACCACGGGCATCATTCAACTCACAATGGAGCCTGCTTGGAAGGAGATGTGTTTTGTGCAGACTGCAACCGCTTCAATGGCGTCCAGGGCCGCTTTCGTCATTTGGACGTTGATTTTGGCTGTCTCAGCAAAATCGTATGTTGGCGACATTCCGCACGCTTCAAGAAAAGAGTCAGATGCGTGCTGTGTAAATTGCATTTCTTAAAACGTGGAAACCTACCAACGTAGAACACATGAGTAATTTCCCCAATGTCAGGTATTCCTCGAAAGCTGCCAATGACTTCCTCGCTGGTTCTGTTCAGATCAATTCCGCTATGGACGCGCAGTCGGCTATCCGTAGGCCATTGCGCGTCTGATAAGGAAACAGGACGATTTGTGAGAAGATCAACACTCTCAAATGCCGATGGAGTCTGAGTTTGGAGTAATTGTAGGCACAGAGACCACCCCGAGACTCCTGTGGCCCCAATCACTAGCGCACGTTGGGGTTTGGAATGCATGTCAGCCATTATGTTTGATTTCCCAGTTGAGAGCGCGCGACACGATCGTGAGAGATATGAATCGTTTTTCTGTTCCCCCAAATGTTTGAGAAAAAATATCGAGCGCATCACAGCCTTTTTGCAATTTCATAAATCCGGTTCTCGCCACTCGCCGATGAATCGGCGTGTATCACACGACTTGCATTCGGAACCCGAACCGAACGTAGCCATTTTTCTTTCAACGTCGTTCAACGCAGCAATCCTGCGTTTCAATGCTAGTAGATTCTGTAGCTACATTCAGCTACAATACATCTTCTTCTCTCTATTTTTCCTGTTGAGCATGGCGAAATCCCGCAAAAGCATCGCAAATTCGAACCCTTGTCCTGACAATGATGATGGGCCTAGCTGGTATTTTGCCTACGGCTCAAATATGTGTTCATCGGTATTTCTTGAACGAAGAGGTATACGACCATTGAAAACGGCGGTAGCGACCATTCCAGGATACATACTCTGCTTCGAAGTACCAGGGGTTCCATATCTGGAACCAGCACAAGGATCAATCAGGAGATACCGTTCCCCTAAGGCGCATGACAGCCTCGATGTCATTGGTGTCGCATACCTGATCACTTCCAAAGACATGTCCCGGATACGAGCTACAGAGGGTGGTGGAATTGCGTACAAGGAAGTGCTCCTGGAAGCAATGTTGCTAGATGAAGCCCATGACATGGAAAGAGCGATTCAAGTGCGCACCTTGATCAGTCGGACTCCTTCGAGCCCAGAAAGGCGTCCAACTATCAGATATCTGGTATGTTTACCCCATAAAAACAGGAGCAATCAAGAGAAACATATGTTGACGCATTTATGCAAAAGAATTTACTCATCCGCGGCGCGGAAGAGAATCATCTACCGGCTGATTATCGTAGATACCTTTCAAACCTCCCAGTATTCACAATAAACAGCTCTTGTCGGTACAGAATTGGTAGTGCCACTTTCCTATACTTCTGGAGATCTGTGCAGAAAGGATTGGAATGGGGCATCAGGTCTTTCAAAGATGACTCTGGAACAGTCCCCAGTTGGTTTATTTCAATCTTTAATGTCCTCCTGACTACTATGTGGTTTCAGCATGACTTCTTTTTCTGCTATCTTTTTGGGAGAGGGGATGGACTGTGACGACAACGCTTCAGATGTTTCCTCTGCGAATGGTTTCTTGTCACTATCCTGTGTGGGAAACGAAATCTCGGTTTGACAACATTTTTAGAAGCATCAGATGACAAAATTAGAGTGCGTTGAGCGCGAGAGCTTCTGGATAAGCAGCCGCGATTTTTGCCTTGAATGCATCGTCCCATAGTGGCTTAACCTCTTCTTCAAGTTCAAGTATATCATCCTCGCATTGGCGGTGAGCAACAGCTTCAACATCCCCCATGACTCGGATGAGATTTCCACCTACGATCTTTTCGACATCTCCTTCAGGGATTTGGTTCGCTATAAGCTCTGCGACAAGGCGTGGAAACGTAGAAGTATCAGAAAGGCCCAACACAGCCCTCGCCATTCCATCAAAATCTGAACCTATACCCACATGGTCATAACCGATAAGCTCTCCGACGTATATGATATGTTTCACAACATCCATCAGAGAGGATAGGCCAGGATCAGCAGAAGAAAACTCTGGGACAAAACTGATCATTATGAGACCCTTGTTGCTCTTTAGCATGTGAAGGATGTTGTCCTTAACATTACGGGGATGAGGATGTACACCGAATCTACATGTGAGTCAGCAAAGCCATCTCGATTTTTAGTGATACAAAGGACTAACGCAGAAGAATGCGAGAAAATGATCGGGGCTCTCGTTTGTCTCAACACGTCTTCAGCTGTCTGCTCACTTGTGTGTGAAAGGTCGATTATCCTCAGTAACAGTCAGCTCTTCAGGTCCGCGCAGTCAAATTGCTTTGTTGAAAGCTTACATTCCTAGCCGGTTCATCTCTTGAATGATAGCTCTACCTTTGATTGACAAACCATTGTGAACAGGCGTTTTCGCAGTCTAGGAAATTATCAGTTTCTCTGTACTTGGAATTGTTTACTTCGCTCCAATGACCTACAGCGCTGTCCGCATAAGCATTGTTATGATTGTGCGTTAATGTAGCATATCGTACGCCCAGATTATAGAACATTCGTAGAACACTGGGGCTATTACCAATCTGGTGTAGGCCCTCAATCCCGAGCAAGCTTGCGATTTTTCCATTTTGAAAACTGGATAATATACCTGAGGATGTCGTTGCGAGCTCAAGATCGTCCGGATACTTCTTTATCAATCGTAGGATGAGATCGATCTGTTGCAATGTTTCTCGGATTGTTTCGAGGTAGCTGTCATCGTTGAACACGTTGATCTTGTCCTGCGCTGGACTGTTTCTTGTCAGAGAGCATATTCGCCTGACTGGGGCTTGTGGTGTGAAGAAGGAAATCCAATCAGGGTAATTTACCAATCAACATATGCACTCCAAAATGTCCCGCCAACAAGCCCCTTGCGCAGTTTTTTGATGTCAACGTGACCTACGAGACTCTCTTCCCTTGAGAAATTCCGCACGTGAATTTTGTTGCTGTAGTACCCCCGAATAATGTTGGCCCAGTCATTGTGCCCATCTTTAGATTTCTTGTCAGCGCAAAGTGCAAACATTGAGACGCGAGGAAAGAAGAGAACTTCCATACCTATGAGTGGTACACGGCTCAACAGGTTCGCGGCCCGTTCAAGAAATTCGTTTCCTGGCTCGCTCTTCATAATGATAACAAATACAACGACAACGCTTTTTGCTATGATGACTTCATGTCAATTCAAGTTTGAAAAATATATCTTATTTCGGCTCAGGATATAGTCCAAAGCCAGGGTGGCCATGCAAATTCAATGATGTGAGTGGTGAACCACCCGATTGGACCGTTAGGTACTTTCGGAACGTATCTGGAATGTGCGCAGTAGTGAAGCGTAGGCTGGTATACGGCGCATGGATGGACATGTCCCTTTAAAACAGCAAAAGATGATGCAATTCGCCAAAGGCTTAAAGTAATTTTTCCGTTTCATCAAGTGCATCTCCAATCCTTTGGAGAGCGACGTCGACGATATTCTTCGGCAAAGAAAACATGATGCGGAACCAGCAAAATTGTTCAAAGTGAAATGATGTTCCCGCAACGAGCTTGACCCCGGATCGTTTCATGCACTCTATCAAGAGAAGCTGTTCTTTTTCCGTACGTGTCTTGCCCAGGCATGCAAAAACAAAGAGACCCGCTTTCGCAGGCACAAACTCCAAGCCTCTGTTCTCCAGAAATCGCTGAACCTTTCCATAATTCAAATTAAGCCTACTACGGAGGTTTTGATTCAGCAATTTTTGCGTAGTTCTTGGTTCTAAAAGCGAGGGCACAATGACCGAGGTTAAGGAGGATACTTTGTTATTGGTAATGAGCGCAGAACCCAGCAAAAGATCTGTATTTCCTTGCGTGACAATCGCACCCTATAAATATCAATATGGAATTCAACTTGATGCTGTATACCCCAACTTACCAATCTGAGTCCACTGCAGCCGAAGTCTTTGCTCAAGGAATACACCATGTGGACCCACGACGTTAACCCGGGTGCGGTGGCATGGGACAGAATTGAAGTAAAAGCTGGCGTCACTCCTTTATCGGAATCCGAGAAGACTGACATGCCATACACTTCATCTGATATGTAATGTAGCTTGTTACGCTGACAAAAGCCTAGCAAGCCTTCGAGAACATCGGCATTGTAGCATTGACCCAGGGGATTATGAGGATTGCACATCAATATTGCTTTGATGGGAATCGGCGATGTAGCAAGAGCTCTTTCGTAATACTGTATACTGGACATCTCGAAGAATTCGTGGAGAGGGATATTGACTTGAACAATTCGAGCTAAACTGCGGGTCTCCAAGGCAAGGTCGAGCCCACTCCAGTACGGTGCAGCTATCAAAACACCTTCACCGGGATCACATATATGGAAAATCAATGTTTCGAGTGCCTCGCTTGCACCGGGCGTCATTACTATGTGATCTGGGCTCACGCTGCGAGCTGGGTTAAAGCGATCGTTGAAGAACATGGCCAATGATTTTCGTGCTGCTAATTCGCCTCCGACGCCCGTAGGATACGAAAGATTCTAAGAAAATCAGTAAGAAAATCATACTTGTACTGCAGGAGCTTGCAGGTCGATGTGCATGCCGTACGCTTCCATTCAAGTGCTTCCCGATCGCGCTTCGTATCTCATCAAGAGTCTCATCTCTCAGGACTGAGTTCTCCGCTTGGCTCAAGTCCAAAATATCAATATTGCCGGCTTGAGGCTGGTGATATTCCCTCAAAAGCCTAGGGATTATCTCCGAGGTGTTGCGCTGGGATCGCTGTGACAGCATCTTAGTCTCTTTTGGTGGTGGAAGCGCCGTTGTTGGTGTGCGAATCGCTGTCACAAATATAGGATCGGAGTCGCTCGAATCCGGCCATTATCGCTTCTCGTAAGACACAATAAACTCCGAGGGCTCGGAAGAAATACATTCTTACTATCTTTACCAATTTAAAGACTTCAATTGACCACCTCTAACAAATTCTTTGGAAAAGAGATCGTATCTGACATAATCTTTTATTAAGAAATGGCCGTCGCCGTGGTATTTGGTGCTTCTGGTATCTCTGGATGGGGCATTACGAAAGCCTTGTTAGACGCAAAAACACAGAACGCGTTCAGCAAAATTATCGCACTTACCAACAGATCACTCTCTCTCGCAGAATCTGGCTTACCGGACGATGATCGACTCCAATTGCATTCAGGGATTGATCTGCAAGCAAACGTAGACGATGTAATCGCAAAGCTACGGGAACGCATTCCTAGCATCGGAAATGTCACGCACGTCTTTTACACTGGTAAGGCTGACTTCAGTCCGTGCGTACCGCTATCGTCCAAGCTGACAGGAATTCATGAAAAGCATTCAGTACATCACACACTGATAACCAATTGATGATGAAGGCCTCGAATACCAAGATGCTTAGGACCATGGTCGAAGCTATGGAAACTGTGGCACCTTCATTATCATTTATTGCCGTACAGACTGGTTCGAACGTGAGTAAACAGAAAGGCCTCTCGTGTCATCCGCGATTGCAGATGCTTGGAGATGGTATTGACGTTCTATCTGCAGCATTATGGCATTTTGTTCGCCGAAGTTCTTGGAGAACGATTTGGTCCAGTACCTCTGAAGGAAGATCTACCGCGTCTACCTTCACCACTCCGGGACTCGCTCATGTTCTACGCCATGGCAGATGAAATGGATGAACTTTCCCGAGGCAAGAGCTGGAAGTGGTGTGACATTAGGCCTGACATGATCGTAAGTGGTTTCTTTGTGGTTGCAGAAAGTGACCATGCTGATCGAATTGTTTCCATAGGTTGGATATCTGCCTAGGCCGAACTCCCATAGCATTGCCGAGTCTATTGGATACTATCTAGCATTCCATGCATATCTCACGCCTGGAGAGGAGGTGCCCTTTCCTGGTTCGGAAGCAGCTTGGAACGCCAAGTTCAGCCTGACTGGCCAGGGTGTTCTTGGAAACTTCAATGTTCACCTTGCTTGCAAGAACAGTATTGAGAACGGAGAAGCATTCAACATAGCCAACAAGCCCTTCACTACCTGGGCTTCCCTTTGGCCGCTACTTGCGGGTTATTGGGGACTTAAGGGAACAGCGCCTGTTGGCCATCACGGAATCCCAGATGCCGCTTCATGGGTCCTCGATAACATGGATCGTGTCAAGGGCTGGGAAGAGAAATACTCAATGAAGCCTGGCAGACTCTTCAAGATTCCATGGAGGTATTTCCATTGGGCACTTAACATGCCATTTGACCGCTATTTAGACCTTACAAGATGCGAGCAAACTGGCTTTCAACAGCACGAGGAGCACAAAGAAAGCTTTGAAACTGCATGGAAATGCATGCAAGAGGCAAAGTTGCTCCCGATCGTCGATAAGTCGTCTACACCCCCTTGAATATATTATCAGGGAGTTCAAGATATCAGGGAGTTCAAGAATATCTTGATGTATGCTAGATGACACTTTCTATAAAAACTACCCGTTATTTAGATTCTCTTCTCACTATTCCAATGACCAGGCTGAACTTAATCAATTTATGCCTCTACAACAATCGTTCTTCTGCAGCTGGCCGCTTCACGTTGGAAGATCAGATTATACCTATCAGATTAGACCCTACAGCGCAAGACAGCATAGATGATTCAATCCCGAAGTCTCTCTTGTGCGATCACCATCATGGCCATAGATCGGTTTCGGAGAAGTGACTAATCAGCCATAGACCTCGAAGGGTGAATCTTGACATTGTAATTTAAGGACAGTTGTTTTAGTCAAAATAGCATACCGGTAGGTTAGTCAAAAGATTTGACGATACACGCTTGTTGCCATAAGAGGCAGCATTTCAGTGTGATTAGTATTGTAAAAAATACGCTCATCTCAACCAACAGTTGATTTCTCAATGTTTTTCCTCATCTTTAGCTAGATTTACCTAAAGTTTGATGCCACCTTTACATGCCGGCCGAAACCAGCTCATCGCCGAAATCCTGGCGTGTACTGTAACGCAAAGTTCAGGGCGTCGGCGCGTATTCGCCCAGACGGCAGCCAACACGGAAGCTCCCTTGCATCTCTTTGCTCAAAGGCGCGTCTTACTTACCCCACTGACTAAGTAATTGAGTATTTCTGACAAATGCCAATGCGAATTCGCACTGCGGGTTGTATTATCGGGAAGGTAGACGAGGTATCTTGTCTTTTTGTCTTGGTCCAGCGCATTCGGTGATGTTGTGTCCGGCGTTCAAACGGGTCGAGGCGCCCCGTACCGGTACCGTGCCGTATCGATTCTTTCTAGCGTGGAAGAGGTATCCAGCTCATATTTAGCCTGACATCACTCCCTCGTCATCAAAACAAAGATTGTGGTTTAATAAAACAAAGATATGCGCCTCCTCCAATTGTTTTGATCTCAGCCACAAACCCTACAAACACCAACGGAGAAATTTGGCCGCTATGGTATCTGCTAAGCTACCATCCATTTTCATCGAAGCGCAATTGCCTCTCATCTACGCCAACATCATTTTAGCTTTTGCCCTGGGTCCGCAGGCCCACACATTTCGTGTCTGCCTCACTTTACCCATTCTTCTCTTTCTGGTTTGTCAATCGTTGTACAGAGAGCAGAATGGTCCATGGGAAGATCTGTTGTCTAACAACAGCTTGGTGATGTTCACCGTGTTTGTTTATATCGACTGGATTCTACTGCAAAGTCCGGACCGAGAACAATGGCACAAGCTTAACAACGCCAAGACAGAAAGTAATGGCCCAACGAAAGCAAAAGAATCAGGCCCTCCACATGGTTTCTTCCAGAGAATTTGGTTTGGCTGCAGGATAGCAACGGCGTGGCGGTACATAGGGTGGTCATGTCAGGTCAAGAATGTTCCTATGGAGCATAGTGCTGGCTACCCACGACGGTGAGTCTAAGAAGTGAACACTCGGGGCAACATTGGTTCTGACTTGACAGCTATTTCATTGCTCGGAAGAGTCTGCGGGCTCTCGCGTTTTATCTTATGAAAGAAACACTAGAAGTCTACACGGCGTCGACCCCTCACGGGGGCTGGTGGGATACGCAGAACACGAAGCCAGCCCTCAGTATCAAAAATGTGCCATTGTGGCACCAATTCAAGTATACGTGGGTACACATATTTCTCGCTTACGCTACTCTCGAAATGGCGAATTCCATACTCGGTGTCGTGAGTGTGATACTTCACCTAGCAACACCACAAGAATGTCCTAGCGCTTTCGGGGACCTCAAAGATTTTTTCACAGTGAGAAAAGCTTGGTCGTAAGTTTTAGATCCCCTATATTGTAGTTCGCGTTGGCTAATATCAGTAATAGGACGGTGTGGCATCAGCACATGCGACGGCTTACCTCTACTATGGGTTTATTTGTTGCCCGTGATCTCATGCAACTTCGAAAAGGATCTTTTCAATCGAAATACGTGCAACTGTTTGTTGGCTTTGGTGTTTCTGCTGGCCTTCATGCAGGCGTTGCTTTACTGTGCAGTAAGGCTTTAAATGATGATTCAGCGCTCTTTTTCTTCGGAATACAGGCCCCGATCATCATGCTCGAGGATCACGTTATTGCAAAGGGAAAATCTCTAGGTTTTAAAGATTCTCCTCTATGGAGATTTATTGGCTTTGTGTGGACAACGCTAGCGATTGGGTTTACATGCCGTGCTTGGGTTGGCTCCATGATAGACAACGGCATGTGGGTGCATGCCCGCAAGAAAGATTCGGTTATTCAAGGTTTACTCATTAACGCTATACAGCAACCTTAGCATATTAGAAGAGGATGATATGATGGTGCAGATGATTGCTTTTAGTAAGAGTATAGTAGACGAGTTTACAGACACATTTGTCTTC